GAGCAGGAAAGCTGATGTTTCGGGTCTAGACCCTTCTTCAGAAATTTACCAGGTTGTTTTCTGAAGAAGGGTCTAGACCCGAAATGTCAACTTTCCTGCTCCTCTGATGCTGCTTGGCCTGCTGTGTTCATCCAGCTCTACACCTTGTTATCTCAGATTCTCCAGCATCGGCAGTTCCTACTATCTCTAAATTAATCTAGTCCCATTTTCCAGCACTTAGCCCATATCCTCCTAAACTCTTTTTATTCATGTACACGTCCAGATGCCTTTTAAATGTTGTAAATTGTACACGTCTCCACCATTATCTCTGGCAGCTCATTCCATACACACACCACCCTCTACACGATAAAGTTGGCCCTTAGGTCCCTTTTAAATCTTTCCCCTCTCACCTTAAATCTATGTCCCCTAGTGTTGGACTCCCCTATCCTGTGAAGTAGGCTATTCAACCTATCCATGTCTCTCATGATTTTATAAACCTCCGTAAGGTCACCCCTCAGCCTCTGATACTCTGGGGAAAACAGCCCCAGCCTATTCAGCCTTTTCCTATTGCTCAAACCCTCCAGCCATGACAACATTCTTGGAAATCTTTTCTGACCCCTTTCAAGTTTCACAACACTCTTCCTATAGCAGGGAGACCAGGATTGCATACTGTATTCCAAAAGTGGCCTAGCTAATGTCCTGTACAGCTACAACATGACCTCCCAACCCCTATATTCAATGCACTGACCAATGAAGGCAAGCGTACTAAGTGCCTTCTTCACTATCCTGATTACCTGCGAATCTATTTTCAAGGAACTATGAACCTGCTCTCCAAGGTCTCTTTGTTCAGCAATACCCTCAGACATTACGATTAAGTGTATAAGTCCTGCCCTGATTTGCCTTTTCAAAATGCAGCATCTCACATTTATCTAAATTAAACTCCATCTGCCACTCCTCGGCCCATTGGCCCATCTGATCAAGATCCCATTGTACTCTGAGGTAACCTTCTTGGCTGTCCACTACACCACCAATTTTGTGTCATCTGCAAATTTACTAACCATACCTCCTATGTACACATCCAAATCATTTATATAAATAACAAAATGCAGTGCACCCAGCACTGACCAATGGTCACAGGCCTTCAGTTTGAAAAGCAATCCTCCACCACCACCATCTGTCTCCTACCTTCAAGCTAGTTCTGTATCCAAATGGCTAGCGCTCTCTGTATTCCATGTGATCTAATCTTGCTAACCAGTCTACCATGTGGAACCTTGTTGAACACCTTACTGAAGTCCATGTAGATCATTTCCACCACTCAGCCTTCATCAATCCTCTTCGTCACTTCTTCAAAAAACTCAATCAAATTAGTGAGACACGATTTCCCACACATAAAGCCATGTTGACTATCCCTAATTGATCCTTGCCTTTCCAAATACGTGTAAGTCCTGTCCCTCAGGATCTCCCTGAGCATTGATGTCAGGCTCACCGGTCTATAGCTCCCTGGCTTTTCCTTACCACCTTTCTTAATTAGTGGTACCACGTTAGCCAACCTCCAGTCTTACAGCAGCTTACCTCTGGCTATCGATATACAAATATCTCGGCAAGGGGCTTAGCAATCACTTCCCTAGCTTCCCATAGAGTTCTAGGGTACACCTGATCAGGTCCAGAGTATTTATCCACCTTTATACGCTTTAAGACATCTAGCACCACCTCCTCTGTAATGTGATCATTTTTCTAGACGTAGCTATTTATTTCCCGAAGTTCTCTACCTTTCATATCTTTCTCCACAGTAAACACTGATGCAAAATACTCATTTAGTATCTCCCCCATCTCCTGCAGTTCCACACATCGGCAGCCTGGCTGATCTTTAAGGGGCCCTATTCTCTCACTAGTTATCCTTTTGTCCTTAATTAATTTGTAGAATCCCTTTGGATTCTACTTAACCCTATATGCGGTGCAAACTTCAAAGAATTATATATCGGAACCCCTAGGTCCCTCTGTTCTACAACACTACCCAAGGCTTTATCATTAATTGTATAAGTCCTACCCTTATTCATTGTACCAAAATGCAATACCTCGCATTTCTCCAAATTGAACACCATCTGCCATCTTTCAGCCCACTGACCCATTTGATCATCTTGAGCCTCAGTAGTCCATTTGGTGTTTATACACGCAATGTTCTGCTAGGTAGGGAATTCTAGGCTTTTGACTCAGCAGTAAGGGAAAGGGATATACTTCCCAGTCAGGATGGTTCCAGTCATCCCCTGGTGGGGTTTCTACAGGGGTGCGAGGGGCAGCTGTGGCCAACAAATAGATTTAAAAGCATTGTCTGGCAGCGGCATCACCCACCTCCACTATTAGGACTACCATGGTCTGAAGGTTGAAAATCCTTCTATCTTTACTTGGATGGTAGATCCAGTGGCAACCTTTTATTGGTCCTCTCTGGGAAGACCTCTCAGGTGGATTCCCTGACAGTAAGTCTGGAATCAGGACCTGCAAATAAACTTGATGCACAATTAATTTTAAAGTGTGTAAAATTCTAACCTCAAAGGGGATGGGAATGGTTCCCTTCTGTGCTGTAGCTCTCTATGATTTTATGAACATGTTGGTGAAAGATCATAATGCTAATCTTCCCTTCTGTCTTATGGTGACACCTTCCAGTATCTATAGATTTTTTTGGCTTCATATAAAGTATTCTCTCTCAAAGCCAAGTTGTACAGTCTTTCACTGGGAAATGTAAGCCCAAACTGGATTTCCTTTAGAGATAGTAGGAACTGCAGATGCTGGAGAATCTGAGATAACAAGGTGTAGAGCTGGATGAACACAGCAGGCCAAGCAGCATCAGAGGAGCAGGAAGGCTGACGTTTTGGGCCTAGACCCTTCTTCG